TCCAGGGCGTTTTCACAGACGTCTGCTCCATTTGAAATACAATAAATGCTGATTATACTTTTTAAGAATGTGAGTGGTTTGGTACTTGGAAATTGATTCTGCTCGAGTATTACACTATATATTTGTTTTTTTTCCCTGCATTATTCAAAACTTTTTCTTGGAGAATGGTGTCTGGTTATCCTGGAGGTTGGAGGCTGGCTATATTCCTGTCTGGAGTAGGGGAAATCCATAAATATCTGATGATTGGAGGCATATTTACTAGGTCTAGGATCCCGAAAAAACCCTAAAAAGGCCTTTTTTTTCACCAATATCTGGTGAGTGCGGTGTAGTATTTGAGCACTATTTCAGTGGAAACACGGGTCAAAAGTTTTTTGGAAAAGGACTTTCATGAATATATTTTATTTTTATTTCTATTTTTCACTTTATTGATTTGGAGAGGGACTTATTGACTTTTATTTTTTATATATTTTTTTCTTAATCATTATTTATTTAAATTTTCACTGTAGTATATATTTATTAATTTTTATTATACATTTGCGCTGTTCTGATGTTTTAAATAAAACATTAATCAAGCTGTCTTCTGAAAGTATGCTAGGATTCCTTTGAACCCTGATTGAGACAGGATGGTCTGTTCCAAATTTAAAAAAATCGTGTAAACCAGTAAAACACTTGACTATTTAAAATAGGATAGTTTGACACATGATACAATAAGCCTAGGTTCACACTAGAATGCGGTGTGGGAAACCCGTAATCAGTGCACGTTTTCTACACCACATTCAAGTCACACTGCCTTTGCAATCTACAGCTGATGTCAGTGCAATCATAAAGACTCCCCAAAAGCAGGTCACAAATGCACTACACACCTAATAAAAGTGGCATAGCGCAGTCCATAACCAAAAAGATGTGACTGATGCCAAAATCCAGTGCTGAAAATGACCTGTCAGTGCTAAATAAAGGCTAAACCATCACATTAAACTTGCATTAAACTTAAATAAGACAACATTGTTATTATATCACAAAATGCAAACCAACACTTTAAATTGAGAAACCAATATATAAGAAAAAATGAAAACGTGATCCTACACCAATATAACGTCCTTAGAAATGTAAATAGCCCATGCTGTTAGATTTGGTGATAAAGATAGAGATGTAGTTTTATAACCCATCCACATTCAAGCAGAATCCATGCTATTCACTATCTTAATCCCAAAATGATAACACCAGTTGTGCCAAATGAAATCCATACTCCATAATATGTGTGAATTGGCTGCTCACCTCAAGAATGGAACTTATATAAGTATATAGGTCAAATGCGCTTTGTTTATGCCCCTCACTCTGGGTGACAGGTTCTTCCCCCTTGTAAACTTCACTCTCAGTCAGGGGTGGACTGACAACTCATGGGGCCCCCGGGCAATAAGGGATCATGGGGCCCCTGTGTCCTTGCCCAAACTCAAAAAAACCTATGAAAAATGTACCAGGGGCATCTCATGGGGCCCCTTACTGACCCCGGGCCCTCAGGCAGTGCCCGAGTTTCCAAATGGTCAGTCCGCCCGTGCTCTCAGTTGGTAACAGTATTCTTCATATGGATAAATGTATGCTCCAAAGGAAAAATAGTAGAGAGAGGGTGCCCATAGTGTAGTAGTTGAATATAACATTGATTAAATACAGGAATATTGCACTCACATAGATACAAGTAGTATGCGCTAGACTGCAGTGCGTTTGCCTGTCCCATATCACATTGTACATAATGGCCATGCAATCTGGTTGTAGTGAGCCTCCAAAATTGGTGCATTCACATCTTTGATGCGATGCAGTGCAATTAATGGGCTCAAATCACACCGTACTGAATTGCATGTGAATTGCACAGGAATGCGGTGCGGTTCCTTTGCGAGCCATATGTGGTTCATAGTGTGAACCGAGACTAAATGAGCTGTTCAAATCAGCATGGGCCTGGCGTGACCTGCCCTGTCATATAATAACATCTTCATAAGCCTCTGTAGAAGTGCAGTATGAACTGATAAAAGAGATTTCAGAAGACCTGTTGAAAGTTGTCAGGATGGAAAGGGTTACATAGGAAATTCTAAAGACTTGGACCTGCATCAGCTTGAAGTCAGGCAGACGGTTTAACAATGAAGGAAATTCACCACCACCATAAGTCCATCTGTTTCCCTAGGAGTGGATGTCATTTTAAGGGCACGCTGTACAAGTTGAACTTGAAAAGTTCTACAGACTTCCACTTATTAAGGTGATCAGAACTATAGCATTAAAAAAAAAGACTAATTTAAAAGGGTGTTAAAAGGAGGATATCACAAAGAAATCCATTTTTCTTCATAGAAAAAAAAAAAACTTGCTGCTGTTTCATTCCTTCTAGGATATCACATTTCCTGAAGACCATCAGAGTATTTGTTATGCTTCTCTTTTTTTACTCCTTTTTGATCTGTTAAAACTGAATTCCATGGATATTTTTACCTTGTTACATGGAATTATGCATATGCCATTCCTGTTCAATCACCATGGAGGGTGGAAATTTCTGTGGTAGACACCACTACTCCAGTGATCTCCACTAGCTTCTGCGTCCTGTACTGAACAGCTGCCCTGCTGCATTGTGAACACAGGAGGTCGCCCACTTGACATGTGCACCATTCAGAGAATGCTTTGCGTTTTCTCAGTGATTGCAAATCATTTTCCCATGAATTCATAAACCATGAATAAGCACGTGATCGTGTGAAATGCGTTAACAACTTTTTATATGTCCTGGTGCTCTTTGCATTGATGGATCAATAAATTATCTGTTACATTTCATCAATCCTCCGATGTGTGGCTAACCCTTCTTCCTCATATCATCTGTGTGCTGGTCACATGGTTAAACATGGCATCTAAAGGCTCCCTGTGGTCTATTGTAGAGGTGAAGTGTCTGCTGGAAATATGGGTGGCTGAGAGCACCTGGATAAAACACAAAAGAATGCAGAGATCTTTGGAAAAATGAGTGACCATCTGCAAGAACATGGATACCAATGAAGCAAAGAGCATAGTTGTGCAATGCTGAAAAACCTGCAGGAGCAGTATCTGAAGGTATGGAATGAGATACATAAATCTGGCAGCTCAGCAGATGAAAAATTCCAATGGTACAATGCTGTGTACAACATAATAGATCATAAACCAAGTAGTGATCCAAATGTCCTGGAGTCAGGAAGATTGTCAACACCATCAGAGAACAATATAGTATCTGATAACAGAATGGAATTTACACCAGCTGATAACATGATGGCATCTCCATCATTAAAAAAATGAATACTATATATTTTATATATGGAAAAAGGAGTTTATATTTGTGTTTACTACTTTTGTGCTTACTTTCACAGTAATATCACATCCTTCTGATCTGACACAAAATGCTGGTTGCATCTGTGATCATACTACACTTGAAAGCATGGGTGTAGCATCAGGGGTCTCAGGGGTTACAGTTGTGACCCTGCTGATGCTCCAGGGGGGCCCGTGCGGTCTCCCTGTCACTATGATGGGCAAAGCAGAATCCAGAGCAAAGCGGAATCTCTGAGCTTTTGGCTTCATTTTCAAGTCCTGACTCGGAGAGTAGTGGAGGAGGACAGGGTGAGGCCAGCCCTGCTGGATGGGAAAGTGTCAGTGCTGACAACCAGCCGGGAATGACTCCCTCTTTTACATACAAACCTACCACTTTCACCCAACAGCTCAGCGTATGGCCTGTCTGCCCCACCTTGTGTGTACATGCAGATGGCAGCAGGAAAGAGAGAAGAGAGAGCCAGCCACCACACAGCTATCATATCTTGGCGCACGATGGGAGCATCTTGGTGCATGGTGGAAGGTAGTGGGGGCCCCAGGTCAACTGTTACATTGGTGCCCACAAGCTTCAACCTACTCCTCTGCTTGAAAGATCTCCCCCAGAGTAGAGGAAGAATCGAATGTGGAAGGTGAGTGAAGTTGTGGGTGACATGATGACCACCTTAATGGACTTGCATAAGACACAGTATAATGAGTTTATGCTACAGGAGTAACAGAGTCACCAGCAAGAGAAGGAGATGTTAAATAGCTGGATAAAAGGCACAAATGGAGATGGGGGAGAGTAGACAACAGGTACAGAGAGAGGAACAGCAAAAGAGAAACAGGATGTCCATGCAAATGATGAACAAACCATTTTATACCAGCAGCACATAACCTCATATCCACAATATGCTCCTCATACTTATCAGTATTCATACCCTGCCCATGAGGAGATGCAGACAACCTACCTAGGTAGGCCCCAGTCACCCCTGCTTTATCACAAACTTTAATAATTGTATGCCTGTTGCTTTGTTTGCATACTCTACACAATTTTTTATCCAGCTTAAAAAGTGAAATTACATAGTAAGAAATGCTTGAAATGTTGCCTTCACACTGTCATCACATTGGTTTCATACAGCTTTGTACATTGACATCTATAACAACCTGATTACAGCAAAGGTAATAAATGTGGACATAACATTTCCAGCTAGTTTATTGTCTTTATTGTCCTTATAAGTTATGTGTTTGTTCAACTGGAAATGCTGTTTTTTTGGCATTTGCCAGTTCCTAATCGTTCATATTGAATTTTTCTGTGCCCTACATACTGTAAGTAGGTTTTTTATGAGCACATGGTTAAAGTATAACTAAAGCAATTTTATTTATTTATGGTAGAGATTTCCCTACACTTCCTATACTGCAGTGAAATTCTACTTTATTTCCTAGAAGAATATGAACAATGCACTGTATGCTATTTGTAGCAATGGTACATACTACATACTAGACAGCTGTTCTTACATTGGACAGTATTGTATGTTTAACTACTGTTTTTGACTTGTATATGTGTTATTTATACTTTTTAGCACTGCAGTGGATGTGATGTGTTTATATGTCTCAAGGCAATTTTATTTACAATTTATGATACAATAGATCAAATTTTAATTTTTTTTTTGCTGTGTATCATCCCTTCACTTCCTGTCCCAAAGTCTCAACAGAAAGTGGGAGGATCGCTGTAAACACTGGGTCAATGTGAGCATGGGCGGACTGACAACTCATGGGGCCCCCGGGCAATAGGGGATCATGGGGCCCCTGTGTCCTTGCCCAAACTCAAAAAAACCTATGAAAAAGGTACCAGGGGCATCGCATGGGGCCCCCTACTGACCCCAGGCCCCCGGGAAGTGCCCGAGTTTCCAAATGGTCAGTCCGCCCCTGAATGTGAGTGACCCTCCCTCTTGTCACTGGAGCCAATGTTCCCACTAGAAGCTGTTCCTGGTAAATGTTAACATTGTTGATCATTACATTTGTAGAGAGTAATGGGAACAAGGACAGTTTAAAATACTTGACTTGACAGCAGTTTTAACCCCTCACCATTTCATGACAATCCAACCAAAAATGTTGCCTTTAGTCATATTACATTTGACCAATGGAAGTACTGGATTATATTGTAACCATGTTTTGACTGTAATACAATGACAAGAACCACACAGGTCAGAGAAATATGCAATATAAAGTTTATTGGCAGCAAAATCATAACCTGTAATGTTCAATTTGTGATAAACATGTAATACAGCTATTACAAAATGTTTGATACATTAGGACAAGTCTCACTGTGCACATTGGTTGAGACATTATTTTTTATTAGACCCATGCACAAGGGTCCAGTTACACTTATGTGTCCTCTATATTTTACCAAGTATGTGAACTGTTATAATTCTATAGTGCATATGTATACAGGAGTGGATGTGTTTTGTAAAGTGCATCCTTCTGAATTTGAACCACTTTAACCCCTTCATGTCCAAGGTCAAAACAAACATTAACACCCAATCCCAATTTTGCAATTTTGACATGGGTTAGTAAAAACTGTACGTATCCTCGCAGCTACTTGTTGTTAGTGGATATCTTTTGATTTAGTTTTTATTATCAAAAGAAAACTGTCCAAAAACAGTTTTAAAAAATTATTTTTTAAAATGTAGGTGTATGTTTTATGCCATTACCACCAAAACTAATTCTCTTGAGTCTCAATTTCAGCTGTGATTTTCAGATGGCAGGGTCAGAATTCAGCATAAACATGAAAGCATGGATCCATCCTGCCTTGTATCAATGGTTGAGGCTGGTGGTGGTGTAATGGTGTGGGGGATATTTTCTTGGCACTAGCAAAATGTACCTGATAAAGTGGCCAGTGAGTGTATATGTGTGATTTGTTCTTTGTACCTGTAGTAGGACCAAGAAACAACAGTACGTTTTTTTTTTGTGCTACTGAAACACACTGACACTAGAGATGAGCGAATCGAACTAGGCGAAGTGGAATTCGTTTCGAATATTAGGAAATTTTTCCTAAAATGGCAGCGACATGTGCGGACGGAGCGGGGATGTCTGGGAAGGCGCGCAGACAAGGCGCGCTGACCCATAATGCATTCATTCATGACATGTGATCGCATTAGCCAATCAGCAGCCAGCCAGCCAGCACTGTGTAATGGTCGAGCTATAAATGGCGGCCATTTTAGAATTCTCCATTTGCCTCCAGTCATTCAACAGAGGCAGACCTGGCTGTATTCAGGGAGAGAGTTAGGGACACAGAAACGTTAGTTAGGGACACAGAAACGTTACTTAGGGACACAGAAACGTTACTTAGGGCCACAGAAACGTTACTTAGGGACACAGAAACGTTACTTAGGGCCACAGAAACGTTACTTAGGGCCACAGAAACAAATACGTTACTTAGGGCCACAGAAACGTTACTTAGGGCCACAGAAACAATACTTAGGGCCACAGAAACGTTACTTAGGGCCAGGGCCACAGAATCGTTACTTAGGGCCACAGAAAACGTTACTTAGGGCCACAGAAAAACGTTACTTACAGCCACAGAATTGTTACTTAGGGACAGACACAGAATTGTTACTGAGGGACACAGAATTGTTACTGAGGGCCACAGAACCGTTACTGAGGGCCACAGAAAACCGTTACTTAGGGCCACAGAACCGTTACTTAGGGACACAGAAACGTTACTTAGGGACACAGAATCGTTACTTAGGGCCACAGGGTTACTTAGGGCACAGAAACGTTACTTAGGGCCACAGAAACGTTACTTAGGGCCACAGAAACGTTACTTAGGGCCACAGAATCGTTACTTAGGGCCACAGAAACGTTACTTAGGGCCACAGAATTGTTACTTAGGGCACAGAAACAGACAGAATTGTTACTTAGGGACAGACACAGAATTGTTACTGAGGGACACAGAATTGTTACTGAGGGCCACAGAAACGTTACTTAGGGCCACAGAAACGTTACTTAGGGCACAGAAACGTTACTTAGGGACACAGAAACGTTACTTAGGGCTACAGAAACGTTACTTAGGGCCACAGAATCGTTACTTAGGGCCACAGAAACGTCGTTACTTAGGGCCACAGAAACGTTACTTAGGGACAGACACAGAATTGTTACTGAGGGACACACAGAATTGTTACTCAGGGACAGACACAGAATTGTTACTGAGGGACACAGAATTGTTACTGAGGGCCACAGAACTGTTACTTAGGGCCACAGAAACTGTTACTTAGGGCCACAGAATTGTTACTTAGGGCCACAGAAAACGTTACTTAGGGCCACAGAAACGTTACTTAGGGCCACAGAAACGTTACTTAGGGCCACAGAAACGTTACTTAGGGCCACAGAAACGTTACTTAGGGCCACAGAAAAACGTTACTTAGGGCCACAGAAACGTTACTTAGGGCACAGAATTGTTACTTAGGGACACAGACACAGAATTGTTACTGAGGGACACAGAATTGTTACTGAGGGACACAGAACCGTTACTTAGGGCCACAGAAACGTTACTTAGGGACACAGAATTGTTACTCAGGGACAGACACAGAATTGTTACTTAGGGACACAGAATTGTTACTCAGGGACAGACACAGAATTGTTACTGAGGGATACAGAATTGTTACTGAGGGACAGAACCATTACTTAGGGCCACAGAAACGTTACTTAGGGCCACAGAAACATTACTGAGGGCCACAGAAACGTTACTGAGGGCCACAGAATCGTTACTTAGGGCCACAGAAACGTTACTTAGGGCCACAGAATTGTTACTTAGGGCCACAGAATTGTTACTTAGGGACAGACACAGAATTGTTACTGAGGGACACAGAATTGTTACTGAGGGCCACAGAACCGAATTACTTACTTAGGCCACAGAAACGTTACTTAGGGACACACAGAATTGTTACTCAGGGACAGACACAGAATTGTTACTTAGGGACACAGAATTGTTACTCAGGGACAGGGACACAGAATTGTTACTGAGGGACAGACACACAGAATTGTTACTGAGGGACACAGAATTGTTACTGAGGGACACAGAATTGTTACTGAGGGGCACAGAAACGTTACTTAGGGCCACAGAAACGTTACTTAGGGCACAGAATTGTTACTTAGGGACAGAATTGTTACTTAGGGCACAGAATTGTTACTTAGGGCCACAGAATTGTTACTTAGGGCCACAGAAACGTTACTTAGGGCCACAGAAACACAGAAATTGTTACTTAGGGAGGGACACAGAATTGTTACTGAGGGACAGACACAGACAGAATTGTTACTGAGGGACACAGAATTGTTACTGAGGGACACACAGAATTGTTACTGAGGGACACAGAATTGTTACTCAGGGACAGACACAATTGTTACTCAGGGACAGACACAGAATTGTTACTGAGGGACACAGAATTGTTACAGGGACACAGAATTGTTACTGAGGGACACAGAATTGTTACTGAGGGACACAGAATTGTTACTGAGGGACACAGAATTGTTACTGAGGGACACAGAATTGTTACTCAGGGACACAGAAATTGTTACTCAGGGACACAGAATTGTTACTCTCAGGGACACACAGAATTGTTACTGAGGGACACAGAATTGTTACTGAGGGACACAGAATTGTTACTGAGGGACACAGAATTGTTACTCAGGGACAGACACAGAATTGTTACTCAGGGACACACAGAATTGTTACTGAGGGACACAGAATTGTTACTGAGGGACACAGAATTGTTACTGAGGGACACAGAATTGTTACTGAGGGACACAGAATTGTTACTCAGGGACACAGAATTGTTACTCAGGGACAGACACAGAATTGTTACTCAGGGACACAGAATTGTTACTGAGGGACACAGAATTGTTACTGAGGGACACAGAATTGTTACTGAGGGACACAGAATTGTTACTGAGGGACACAGAATTGTTACTGAGGGACACAGAATTGTTACTCAGGGACAGACACAGAATTGTTACTCAGGGACAGACACAGAATTGTTACTCAGGGACAGACACAGAATTGTTACTCAGGGACACACAGAATTGTTACTGAGGGACACAGAATTGTTACTGAGGGACACAGAATTGTTACTCAGGGACAGACACAGAATTGTTACTCAGGGACACAGAATTGTTACTGAGGGACACACAGAATTGTTACTGAGGGACACAGAATTGTTACTGAGGGACACAGAATTGTTACTGAGGGACACAGAATTGTTACTGAGGGACACAGAATTGTTACTCAGGGACACAGAATTGTTACTCAGGGACAGACAGACAGAATTGTTACTCAGGGACACAGAATCGTTTAATTAAAGAGTATGTCAGACAACATGCAGAGGAGTGGCAGAGGAGGCAATGTTTTAGGAGCGAGCAGACGTGGCAGCAGAGGAAGGGGTCGAGGCAGCACTAGTCGCAGCCAGAGGCCAGTGCTCCCGGTGTCATCCAGCGGTCGTGTCTCCACCGACAACCCTGCCGTCATCGATTGGTTGGCTCGGTCGTCTTCCTCTTCCCAGGTCACCTCTGACACCTACAGCCAACGGTCGGTGGGTACGTCAGACACAACCGTTAGTTGGCATGGCCCGGGAGCAAGCCCACTGAAATCACGTGTCCTCTACCTGCCCCTGTCCTTTGGTGTTCCCTCACCAAGCGAAGTATCGCATGCTGTGGGCTCAGCCCCACTGTACAGTGAGGAAGAGCTAACAGAGGGCGGTCAGGAACGGGGGGAGACATCCGCCTCTTCAGCAGCCAGGCGAAGAAGTAGTGGCGAGGAGGAGAGTGGCTCGGTAGCCGGTCTAGAGACAGGTCTGTCTCCTGACCCACACGCAGCCGAGGGGGCTAGTAGTGAGGCGGAGACCCTAATTGATGATGATGAGGCTGATCGCACTTGGCAGCCTCGTCGTCATCAGGCTATTGCTTCCGCATCATCAGGAGAAGAGGGTGGCAGCTTGGCAGCGAGCAAAACAGTCGGTGGGTTGCCCAGGAGGCAGCAGGGTCGCAGCAGTGTCAGTGGAGGCAAACGGCCACGGAGTACAGCACCAGCTCCACTGCAGCCTACCACCACGGCCAGTAGTGGTGCCGGTGTGCACGGAGGAAGCAGCAGTCAGCCAGTGAGGAGTATCGGGGGCAAAGTTTCCTACTCGGCGGTGTGGCAATTTTTTGTCAAGCCGCCCGAGGAAGTAAACGTAGCCGTATGTCGACTATGTGGCCAGAAAGTCAAGCGTGGCCAGGGGGCCCATGTTGGGACTACAGCGTTGCGTCAGCATATGCAGCGTCGCCATTTGGTGGCCTGGGAAAACCGTGATAAAGATACGGCGGTTCTGCCTGCCCCAGCCCCCGCTCCATCACCCGCTCCGTTACTTGCTCCGTCACCCGACGTCAATCGCCCTCTATCAGCCAGTCAAGGCTCCAACACCTCTGCTGAGGGGAGTTGTCGCTCGTTGGCATCTTCCGCTCGTTCTGATGCTCCTTCTCCTGCTACTCCTCTTCACGGATTCCGTCAGCAGTCTTTCTTGGAATCCGTTTCCAAGAGACAACAGTTTGCGAGCACGCACCCGACGGTGCAAAAGCTGAACGTCCTCCTGTCCAAGTTGCTGGTGCTGCAGTCCCTCCCTTTCCAAGTGGTGGACTCAGCACCTTTCCGAGAAATGATGGCTTGTGCCGCGCCGCGGTGGAGAGTGCCAAGCCGTCATTTCTTCGCCAAAAAGGCAGTGCCAGCCCTGCATTCACATGTAGAAGAGATGGTGGGCCAGTCTTTGAGCATGTCGGTCTCTGCCAAAGTGCACGGCAGCGCCGACGTGTGGAGCTGTAACTACGGTCAGGGACAGTACATGTCATTTACGGCCCACTGGGTGAACGTGGTGCCGTCACAGCCGCACCAGCAACTTGGACAGGTCACGCCGCTTTTGCCTCCACGTTTGCACGTCCTTGGTCCGGCAAAGATGTCCGCCTCTACCACCTCTTCTTCCGCCGTGTCCTCAGCCGCCACCCCCGTGCCAAGTCCCATTACCCGACCGGCATATCACATGTGCAGGGCGCAACGGTGTCACGCTGTGCTGCACCTGGTATGCCTTGGCGAACGTAGTCACACAGGGGAGGAACTTCTCAGTGTAATGAACAGAGAAATCGACAGATGGCTGTCTCCGCGCAAACTGAAAATCGGAACCATGTTGACCGACAACGGAAAGAACATGGTGTCTGCTCTGCGTCAAGGAAGGTTGTGCCATGCGCCATGCATGGCTCACGTGTTCAATCTGGTTGTCAAGCGGTTCCTAAAATCCACCATCCCACTGCAAGACATCCTTAAAATGTCACGTAAACTTTGCATGCATTTCAGCCATTCCTACACCGCAAAGCACACCCTCCTTGAGCTGCAGCGGCAGAACGGAATTCCACAGCATCGCCTGATCTGCGACGTTGCAACAAGGTGGAATTCAACCCTACACATGTTAGACCGCCTTTACGAACAGCGAAAGGCCATCACCGATTTCCTGATGTTACAAGCGGATAAAGGTACTCCCCTGTGTAACTTCGATGTCAGCCATTGGCAGCTCATGCGTGACACCTGCCGCTTGCTCAGGCCCTTTGAGGAGGCCACGCTATTCGTGAGTCGGCAGGACTATGGGATGAACGACGTCATTCCTCTGTTGCACGTCCTGGAACAAATGCTGTTAACAATGGCTGGTCAGGGTGCGGTAGACGTGGCGCACAGATCTCAACGCCACATGACCCCTGTGGGGGCAGGACAGGAAGAAGAGGAGGAGGTAGAGGAGGACATTTGTGCTCAGGAATTATTGGTGAAATGGGTGGTTTTTCCACTCAGCGGACAGGAGTGGAGGAGCAGGAGCATCTGGTAGAGGAGGAGGAGGAGGAGACAGAGGACCCAGACGCACCGTGGCAGTATGCTGTGGAGATGGAGGCAGGGAGTCCCTCGCATTCCTTGGCACAAATGGCCCATAGCATGCTCGGTTGCTTGCGTAGCGACAGCCGAATAATAACCATCAGACAGAGGGATGACTTTTGGCTGTCCACCTTGTTGGACCCTCGCTACCGTTCAAAAATGGTGGCCTTTTTCACACCTGCTGAGAGGGAGGCCAAAATAACGTACTATAAAAACCACCTATGTAGTCAGTTGGTCTCTGCCTTTGTGCGCCAACGTCCATCCTCAGACACTGTGGGCCCTGTGCGCTCGCGTTCCGCTGCCATGGCAGCAGGGGAGGGGTGGGGTGGTAGGAGCAGTGGCAGCTCCACCAGCAGCGGCTGCCTCAGTCTGCAGTCGATGATGAGTAGCTTTCTTCACACCAGCGCAGTGAGGAAACTACTAACCAGCCGCAGCAGCAGCAGCATCAGGTGGACCTGGAGCAGGACCTCAAACAACAGGCTTGGGCCTACTTGGACAGCACCCTGCCAACCGAGGTAGACAATCCCCTTGACTACTGGGCAACGAAACTTGACCTTTGGCCCCAACTAGCTGAATTTGCCCTTGAAAGGCTGTCATGCCCGGCCAGTAGCGTGGCATCGGAGCGCGTGTTTAGTGCGGCAGGAGGTATTGTAACTCCGCGGAGGACACGACTGTCCACCCAAAGTGTGGAGAGACTCACGTTTGTGAAAATGAATCAGGCGTGGATTAGTCTGGATTTCAAACCACCAGTTCCTGACACAACTGACTAAATCCGCCATGAATCATGCCCCAAACATGTGCCACTTTCAGGTCTCCTCACACTGCTGGTGTGTTTCCATTTTTTGTCATAGGGTGCTGGCAGATTACGGGCCTCCCATTGCTGCTGCCAGGCCCCTAATCTGCCATGGGCCCCTGTACCGCCCTCCTGCTGCTGCCAGGTCCAGCTCTCATGGGTCCCTGTACGGCCTCCCATTGCTGCTGTCTCATCGCCACACTCTGCCATGTGCCACTTTCAGGTCTCCTCACACACTGCTGTGTGTTCCATTTTTTGTCATAGGGTGCTGGCAGATTACGGGCCTCCCATAGCTGCTGCCAGGCCCCTAATCTGCCATGGGCCCCTGTACCGCCTCCTCATGCTGCTGCCAGGTCCAGAGTCTCTCATGGGTCCCTGTACGGCCTCCCATTGCTGCTGTCTCCATCGCCACACTCTGCCATGTGCCACTTTCAGGTCTCCTCACACACTGCTGGTGTGTTCCATTTTTTGTCATAGGGTGCTGGCAGATTACGGGCCTCCCATAGCTGCTGCCAGGCCCCTAATCTGCCATGGGCCCCTGTACCGCCTCCTCATGCTGCTGCCAGGTCCAGAGTCTCTCATGGGTCCCTGTACGGCCTCCCATTGCTGCTGTCTCCATCGCCACACTCTGCCATGTGCCACTTTCAGGTCTCCTCACACTGCTGGTGTGTTACATTTTTTGTCATAGGGTGCTGGCAGATTACGGGCCTCCCATTGCTGCTGCCAGGCCCCTAATCTGCCATGGGCCCCTGTACCGCCTCCTCATGCTGCTGCCAGGTCCAGAGTGTGTCATGGGTCCCTGTACGGCCTCCCATTGCTGCTGCCAGGAGGCAGCAGGGTCGCAGCAGTGTCAGTGGAGGCAAACTGCTGGTGTGTTCCATTTTTGCCGGTGTCATAGGGAAGTGCTGGCAGATTACGGGGGCAAAGTTTCCTACTAGCTGCTTTTTCGTCAAGCCCCCGAGGAAGTAAACGTAGCCGTATGTCGACATGGGCCCCTAAGTCAAGCGTGGCCAGGGGGCCCATGTTGGGACTACAGCGTTGCCTCATGCAGCGTGCCAGCTGCCAGGTCCATAAAGATACGGCGGTTCAGTTCCATTTTTTGTCATAGGGTGCTGGCAGATTACGGCCTCCCATTGCTGCTGCCAGGCCCCTAATCTGCCATGGCCCCTGTACCGCCTCCTCATGAAAACCCCATTGCTGCTGTCATCGCCACACCGTTAAAGATACGGCGGTTCTGCCTGCCCCACCTGCAGGGTGTGTTTCCATTTTTTGTCATAGGGTGCTGGCAGATTACGGGCCTCCCATTGCTGCTGCCAGGCCCCTAATCTGCCATGGGCCCCTGTACCGCCTCCTCATGCTGCTGCCAGGTCCACAGTCTCTCATGGGTCCCTGTACGGCCTCCCATTGCTGCTGTCTCCATCGCCACACTCTGCCATGTGCCACTTTCAGGTCTCCTCACACACTGCTGGTGTGTTCCATTTTTTGTCATAGGGTGCTGGCAGATTACGGGCCTCCCATTGCTGCTGCCAGGCCCGTAATCTGCCATGGGCCCCAGTACCGCCTCCTCATGCTGCTGCCAGGTCCACAGTCTCTCATGGGTCCCTGTACGGCCTCCCATTGCTGCTGTCTCCATCGCCACACTCTGCCATGTGCCACTTTCAGGTCTCCTCACACTGCTGGTGTGTTCCATTTTTTGTCATAGGGTGCTGGCAGATTACGGGCCTCCAGCTGCTGCCAGGCCCCTAATCTGCCATGGGCCCCTGTACCGCCTCCTCATGCTGCTGCCAGGTCCAGAGTCTCTCATGGGTCCCTGTACGGCCTCCCATTGCTGCTGTCTCCATCGCCACACTCTGCCATGTGCCACTTTCAGGTCTCCTCACACACTGCTGGTGTGTTCCATTTTTTGTCATAGGGTGCTGGCAGATTACGGGCCTCCCATTGCTGCTGCCAGGCCCGTAATCTGCCATGGGCCCCTGTACCGACTCCTCATGCTGCTGCCAGGCCCGTAATCTGTCATGGGCCCCTGTTGTCACTTGTTGGCATATTCCGCTCGTTCAGATGCTCCTTCTCCTGCTACTCCTCTTCACGGATTCCGTCAGCAGTCTTTCTTGGAATCCGTTTCCAAGAGACAACAGTTTGCGAGCACGCACCCGACGGTGCAGAAGCTGAACGTCCTCCTGTCCAAGTTGCTGCTGCCAGGCTCGTAATCTGTCATGCGCCCCTGTACCGCCTCCTCATGCTGCTGCCAGGTCCAGAGTGTGTCATGGGCCCCCGTACCACTCCTCATGCTGCTGCCAGGCCCGTAATCTGTCATGGGCCCCTGTACCGCCTCCTCATGCTGCTGCCAGGTCCAGAGTGTGTCATGGGTCCCCGTATGGCCTCCCATTGCTGCTGCCAGGCCCGTAATCTGCCATGGGCCCCCGTACCAACTCCTCATGCTGCTGCCAGGCCCGTAATCTGTCATGGGCCCCTGTACCGCCTCCTCATGCTGCTGCCAGGTCCAGAGTGTGTCATGGGTCCCTGTACGGCCTCCCATTGCTGCTGTCTCCATCGCCACACTCTGCCATGTGCCACTTTCAGGTCTCCTCACACTGCTGGTGGTTTCCATTTTTGTCATAGGGTGCTGTATGGCCTCCCATTGCTGCTGCCTCCACCGCCACACTGTGGCTCCACACTCTGGTTTTGGCCCCGTGACTGCCCAAATGAGTGAAGTGTGCGGTGATTCTAAGATCGACGGCACTCATCTGCATGTCATACTGACTGTCAGTATTATTTCTCTTCCCCAGCAGACTCCAAAGGGCATTTAAATTAAAGGTACAGTGTTCTGCACTAATATAAAGGCTCTCTGAAGCCTAGAAACACCCTTTTATAAGTTAAATTCGCAGCGAATATATTCGACTCGAATCGAAATTTTTTCACGAATTCGCCGAATCAGTCGAATCGAATTTTTGAATAATTCGCTCATCTCTAACTGACACTAACATTGGCAATGACGCGAAATATAAAAAACCTGTTTTTTTTTCTTACCTAAAACACATTGACACTGTCACTTACTGACATGGACACTAATTGACACATATACTGCCAATAACACTGACGCCTACACTCACTAAGCTAGGTAAAACATTGAACTAGTTCATTACTTTTTTTTTAATTCAACAGACTTTTTCTACAGACATCTATATAGTGAGGAGGAATAGATACAATGTATCATTTCCTCCTCACTAGCGACAGTCTGTTGTTTCTGCTCTTCATAGAGGAGAGACATCACAGGGAAAGGCTACAAAGTGAGTGATCAATGTGACAGCCAATCAAAGGTTTTTTTTTCTCATCTCCCTGTTTTCAAGAATCAAACAAATCTCTGTTTCCATTGTACCCAGTCTTAACTATACTTTACATTCCTGTAAAAAAATAATTCCTCGCTTTGCAGTTTTATGTTATCTTTTCTTTCTTATGTTATCTTTTCCTGACCTTCATCCTAATGCCAGTATTACCAGCACAAAAATATGTTACAATGAATAAAAGGTCTGTACATATTCTCAGATCCTGAAATGTCAACTCTTACTCAATCCAATTGTTTTTCCTTCCCAACTATTTTGGCTTTGCCCCGGCACAGTCTTTAGCAATTTAGAGGTTTGGAAAACTACCGCTGTTTTACAAGAGAATCACAAATCTCATATACTGGAATTTTTTCCTATGCATTTGAACTTTTTCATTAAGGCACAAACTTCCACTTTATATATCATGTTTTTTATTGCATCCAAATATCTGTGAAAGAAAACTAAGGAAAGTTATTTGTTCTGGGTTTTTTTCACATATTTATTATAAATCTGGGTTATTTTAGTAAAATAATGCTCTAAAGCCTAACTACAACACAATGGAAATATTCCATTCTTTAAAGACACTTTCAGAAGTGCCTGGTGGAATTCACCTCCACTTAACAGCATGGATGGGACAGGTTGAGAGCATGGCTTTTGTACAAGCTACTTGTGCCATGATACTGTGGGTTCACCAAATACTCCTAGGGAATTGCATGGGAGGGTGCATGTCCCATTAATAATATAAAATGTAGCAAAGCAGACATTTTTCAAGTGTGCATGTTATGGGATGGAGACTGTGTGTGTGTGTGGGGTGCATTTTGGGAAATGCAAAGGAGCTGTCAGCTTAAAGCAAATCAGGAATTTTGAGCAATACAAACTGCTTATGAAATACTCTGCTGTATTTTACTAGTAGCACCCACCCTACCAAGGTTGGCCTTCACTCCCATTTCTTCCGTGAGCCCCAGATCCTCCAGTCCAGTACTGCTGGGACCTTCTTTACAATGCAGTTATGCAGAACTATTATGACAGGAGGATATCAGGTTCAGTGGGTTCCGGAGACTGTGCCCATGTCCAGCTTCCACATGTCATGATCTGCTAAGCCTTCAATTGCTGCCCATCCGACACACTACCTAAAGCCCTTAGTATTCCACAAGTCTGAACACACTACTGTATATGGGCAACACAGTGGTTAAATGGTTAGCACTTCCACCTGGCAGTACTAGGGTCGTTGGTTCGAATCCCAGCCACGGCACCTCCTGCCTGGAGTTTGCATGTTCTCCCTGTGCCTGTGTGGGTTTCCTCTGGGTACTCCAGTTTTCCCTCCTACACTCCAAAGACATGCTGGTAGGTTAATTGGTTCCGGTCTAAATTGGCCCTAGTATGTGTATGTATCAATTTGAGTTAGGAACCTTAGATTGTACACCCCTTGAGGGTTAGGGACTGATGTGAACGTACAATATATATGTAAAGCGCTTCGTAAATTGACGGCACTATATAAGTACCTGAAATAAATAAATAATATAGCCATGTATTAATAATAATTCTATTGGACATCACATTATATTCCATAAGACTCAATGTAGTGCTCCATTAAGTATTTCTACCCAACGTTTGTGTGTTTCACCATGTGTTTTTTATAGTAAAATAGAAGTTCCACATTAGCTTTTAGCTTGTTCTCCAATGCCATGCTATCTTGTTTCACTTCTGTTTTTATAAGCCAGTTTTTGTTGTCAAGAGATCAGCCAAGTTGTCAAGAGACGAGATCAGTTCTGTAAAGTTCAGCAATCGGTTACTTTAAGATGGATAGATGATTAATCTATTGCACCCGAGTCCATGGTTAAGGTTGCCAGTTCTGCAATCCCAGTATCTAGAGCCTCATTTGCTACAGCAGGATATATACCACCAAAAGGTGACAATGATGGTGCATCATCACCCCTTATAATCTACAGAGGGATCATAGTTCATTTCATTCTATTTTTAACTGTAGGACAACAGGATTATTGACCTTTTGCTTCCTGCAGGATCTCCCATTTATCTATTATTATTCTGAAATATTTCAGCAGTCCATAGGAAAATAGTAGGCAGAATATCTCTAGAATGGAACAGAAAGGACGCTGACAGCAATACAAATATGTACAGTGGCACATCTGAGATATTACTTGCAATTCAAACATTCTATTTTGTATACATGTAAAACCATTTGCAAAAATGAAGGGGGATATTTTCTCAAAGACATCTGATTTCCTCCCCAGTAATCAAATAAAAACAATGGCAATGGCAGTTTATGCCCAAAAGAAAGAAGACCAGGCTATATATTTTTCTATGTACTTGATTACTTTTAGATATTATTATTATACAGGATTTATATAGTGCCAACAGTTTACACAGTACTTTACAATATAAGGGGGGCAGTACAATTAGAATACAGTTTGATACAGAAGGAATTGGATGGCACTGCTCATGGAGCTTACAATCTAAAGGGAGGGAGAGGTGATACAAAAGGTGATAGCTGCAGTGGATGATCTGATGGAGGTGACTCAAGTACAGTTCTTAGGTGGAGGTGGGGTAGGCTTCCCTGAATAAATTCGTTTTCAAGGATCGTCTAAAGGTGGACAGGGTAGGAGCTAACTGGACATACTGGGGCAAGGAGTTCCAGAGGAGAGGCTCTGGAGAAGTCCTGGAGGAGAGCCTGGGAGGAGGTAACAAGGGAACTGGAAAGCAGGAGGTCTTGGGAGGAGCAGAGAGGATGGTTTGGGCGATATCTGAAGATGAGGTTGGTGATGTAGCTAGGGGCGATGTTGTGGATGGCCTTGTATGTTGTGGTTAGTATTTTGAATTTTAAACATTGGGCTAGTGCAGGGGTAGGCAACCTGCGTCTCTCCAGCTGTTACAGGACTACAAGCTCCATCATGCCTCTGCAAGTCATAGCTGTAACTGTCAGTTTTGTAATGTTGCAATGCCTCATAAGAAATATAGTTCCACAACAGCTAGAGAGCCGCAGGTTGCCTACCCCTGGGCTAGTGGAAGCCAGTGAAGAGAGTGGAAGCAGTCACGGTTAGTAAGGTACAGCATTCATAACAGACTGAAGGGGGGATAGCCTGTGTAGGGGTAGGCCAGTGAGGAGGAAATTGCAGTAGTCAAGGCCGGAAATAACCAAGGAGTGAAT